GCGAAGAAAGAGATGGCGAAACTCACGTTGTGGAATCTCCAGCTTTCATTCCTTTCACCCTCTCGTTCATCTTCTTTTTCATTTTCCGGCTACAATCCCCGTTTTCTCGCGGTTCCTGTTGTCTTTCTGCTACATCTTTTAATCATTCGTTCGTTCGTTTTTCTTTTTGTTTTCCTCCGACGATAATATCCGTTGATCCGTTCCCCCACATTAATATTTTGTTGTCACGAAGGTGGTGGTGTCCGATGGGCGAGGCCACTACGCCCCGCCTCCGACTTCGTGACACTCAGCAGCCTCGCCGCCGTATTCCTATGTGGCGGTAATCTTCAACGGTCCTATCAACACTATCACCTATAATTAGCAAATCGATCGATATCAATCGATATGCTAGTTTCACTATTATTTATATTCTCACTGCTTTACAATATTGTTAGGGCATCGCATAGTTTTGACACGAATAGCCTTCCTGGAGGTGAGTTCAAACGCTCTATGGTAATAGATTTTTCTTTGTTGTACCGTATGCATAGCTATCGTTTTGAAAAAGATATTTATTGATTTTTGACCGATTTTTCTGAGAATTTCAAACTTTTTTCTATGGACTTTGCATGTCCTTTTGAGCTCAGAGCTCTTCTGGAATTCCTTCGTCGTTCTAATCATACCTCTGCCGTAGCTTCAGCCTTTCGTGAATTACTCATTGCCCGTCTTTCCTGAAGTGCTTGACAACGGTGTGAGGACAAAAGGGGGCGAGAAATATTCTGCACTCTGACATATTTCGGGGAAATATTTTGGACGGGGAACAGAATTTTCTCAGAATCACGAAAGATTTTTTTTTGAATCGTATTCGATTAAGTGTACGATTTTGAATAGAAGTCAAATGCATGGCGAGTCTTTCAAGAAGCCGCTGATTCTACCGATTATTGGTAGTGAAATTTAACTGTTTTAAATGGCTGAGTCAGTCTCTATTTCTATCGACCAGACTAGTAAGAGTAAATTAGCCGTACTGGAATGGCTGAAGAGATAATTGAGCGAGGAGATTCGTTTTTTTTTTTCTTTGAAGGGAGTTTTTGTAGAATTGTTGACTACTCCTAATTACTTTTACTAGTGCTAGGCAACTCTGCGGACTACCTTCGTTCTTGGATTCTTTCCGCTTCCGCTCATGCCTTTTCCGTCCTCGGACGGCTTTCAGCCATTGTCGCTTTTCAAATCAACAATAATTGATCTATGAATCAAATGGAACCTGTTGGGTCCCACTGTATTTGCTGGAGCTCATCCATCCCTGTGCCCTAAGTGAAGCGATTTTTGTTTTTGAAGAGTATATTACCTAGAATCCTCTTTCTCTCTTTCCTTTCTTCCTNTCTCTTTGCTGGTATTTATGAAGTATCTTTCTATGCGAAAAATTTTTATAGTTAATATTTTTTATTGTAAATTATTCCTTATGACCAGATATTTTCCTAATGATACCGCCATCGAAAAAAACGTCCCTCTTCTTTGGTTGGTAGACGGTTTTTTCGGATTTAATTTACTGGATAGGTGGTGGAGGGAGCGGAATAGACATCTTATAGTGTTTTTCCCATGTATTGCGGGAGTGAGGAGGCCGTCAAAACATGAAAGTTGGCCAGTAGAGAACGTTGATGAAGTGTCTTCGACAGTAGAAATTTTACGAAGAAGATGAGCCTTTTTTATGTTAATCTAATAAATTAGAAGAGTTAGTATTAAGGGAGTTCATATTGGTCAATGGAGTTTAGGAAGTATGCAAAAATCCTTTCAAAGATGAATAGTGGTGATCTCATTCATGACCACCATTTATTTGTTTGTTTATTTATTTGTTTGTTTACTTGGCGTTTCAATACCACGCTGTTTCTCCTACCATCTCTTCACGGTCATTCCATCGAGTCAAAGTATCGGAAGCTCCTTCCAATGTCTAGCCCTTAATATACACTGCTGTCCTATGAAACGTACTATCTCATTCATACTGTGGCATAAGGCCCCATAAGGAGGTGGTAGCTAAAGCGATCCCGTATAGACTAGGAGATTAAGTGGGATAAATAAAGCGAGCATTTGAGAATTTCCTAAAAATCGACCATGAACTGAGCTAAGTTTCGAAAAAAATATAAACAGACGAAACAGGGTATGATAATACTACCGGAGGACATCTCAGAAAGGGTGTCAGGGATGGGGACGTGGTCAAGGGAGGGTAAAAAAATAGACAAATAAGTACATGCTTTATCATGATAGTAAAACAAGTTGTATGAAGAATTTTCAAAGCCAGAAAAAATCCTGTATCAGCCTTCATCTACAGGTCTATGTGGGTATCTTTTGAGAAGGGAAATTGGAGGAATCGTTCTGACCAAGCCAATTGTTTTCTCCGATTGCGCCTCACACAGATCCCCTTACCTGCTTTGCCGTTTCGTAGCTAGCTTTTCTCTGTCTTCTTCAGACGATCCTAAATGATTCGGCTTTGTTTTAATTAGGAATATCTTCAAAGAAGAGGCTTACCAGAAAGGGTATTTTTCATAAACTACAACTGGGAGTCACTCTTCCCCTTTGACAACGATCGGCGGAGCGGTTTTCAGTGTCAGGCAACATAATTCATCTGGATGTATCGGTGTGCCAAGTCTGGCTGAGGGTAGCGATATTACCATAACCGGTCATTTTAATGACAGAAAGGGTTGCTTCCGAAAAAAAAGATTGCAAAAATCTTTGTCTATTATTGGATTAATATTGAAGATCCCGTCTGGGGAAGCAGGTCCAAGAGCTCTGAGGATTATTTCTCCGAGAAACTGGCATCACCTGCAGAACCAGTCCACGAATTTTAACGGCGGCTCATTAAGAAAACAAACTTCATAGTTTATAGGTCAATTTACCCAATCAAATGTGGCCCAGAATTGTTCAAGTACTGGTTTCCTTACCAACTTGTTTGATTGCCTGCCGTCTTACCTTTGAAGTGGCCGTACTCCGAAAATTCGGTTTATTTATGGTTTTGTACTGGCAAAAATTGAGACAAATTTCAGAGATAATAGGCGAATT